TCTCCAGAGCCGGCACACGCCGCCGAAGGAATGAGGAGTGGTTGCGGGAAGGAATGTTGCAGCAGGCATGTCTGGCCCGCCTTCCTCGGGAGTCCCTGGGCCAGCACGGCTTTGTTCGCGTCCGGCTTCCCTCCGGAGCAGCCCCTTCCCCGCCTCTGGCCGCCCCTTCGAGCCCCGCCGCTGAAGCTCGGGAGGGGAGGAGCAGGTCCGCCGGCTGCCCTCCTCCCAGGCGCTGCAGCCGAAGGGCCCGGGGGAAGCCTCGGGGGAGCCGGCTCGGCACCGCAGAATCGCACCTGGCCGTGGGAACGGGGGAGGCGCAGCCGGGGCTCCAGGCGAGGGTGCGGCCCGTGCATAGAGGCCGCGCTGGTTCGACAGGCTGGGAGTCGCTCCGGCGGCGGCTCCGGCTCCGGCTCCGGCTCCCCTTGCAGCGCTCTCCCCGCTGCCCCAGAGCCACCTCCCCAAGGAGCAGCCGGGAAGGCCCTGAGCCGCCGGCCGAGCAGCCCGACGCACGGCACGGGGAGCGTCCCTGCACGGTTGGGGCCGAGCTGGGGGAAGTGGGGGGGTTTCCCTGGACTCCTTCCTGCCTCGGTGCTGGCGAAATCCCTCGGAGGAGGCCCGGAGAGAAGGGCCAGGCAGGCGGCAGCCCCATTCAGGGCAGCGGGAAAGGCCAAGCGGGCCTGGCTCCTCTTTCTTGTGCGGGCCGCGATCCGTTCGAGTTTGCAGGGGGCAGTTTGGATCGAGGTCCTCCAGGCAGAGTCAGAAAGTTGGCACCGGGCAGCCTTAGAAGCCCAACAGGCACAAGGTGCTCTTTTGGGCAGGAAAACCCAGAGGGAGGGTTCCACAGTGGAAGCTTCCCGGGGGAACTTGCTTGGCAACCAAAACCTGGACCATCAACTCCACCGTAACCGCTGTGGTCACCAAGTAGGAAATAACCCGCCAGGCTCACAAGGTGTCTTCCCATTTGACCCTCCAAAGAGGCCTGGGCCTTCTTGCTTCCACCTTCTCCTTAACGCTGCTGGTAAGAAGCCGGCTGGCAAGCAGGCAAATAATGGCCGCAGGACTCCAAATGATCCCTAAACAAGGCCGTCGGGAAGTGAGGACTTCTGCCCTGAAGGGCAGAGGGAAACTGGTAATAATGAAAGGGGGCTGTCTTGATGCGTCACCTGATCCAGTAGGGTGATCCCTGGCGGTACCCACAGAAGTCATCACTGCGCTCCACTCTTTATTCTGGGCAGCCCAACCGAGGAGCTTACAGCCCCCCCACCCCCCGCCCAATAAAGACTGTGAGGAGCAGCCGGGGATGATGGGTTGGGTAACCTGGAGGAAAGGAGAACACAGGCAGGGGGCCCTGATCGAGACTCCTAGGCCCTGCAGAGTGGCACAGCGGAGTGGCACAGCGGAGGTGGGCGGGATTGTCCCAGGAGACAAGACAAGACCCGACAGGCTTAAGCAGAGAGGAAATAGACTCCAGGTGTCACCCAGAATGCTTTAATGCTGACAAGTTTGCTGGAGGTGCCTGAAGAGAGGCTGTCGAACACTCCTAAACTGGGCACGGGTTGGGCTAGATGACCTCCAAAGTCCTTGGAAACCCTTCCCTTTGGCTATCCAGGCAGGAGAAGTGGGGAGGCTGAGCTCTTCTGCACCCCAACTTTGAGCCATGGGCTGCAGATCAAGATTTCACACACCCCGTCACCCGCTTCTGATGCAATGGGGTCGCGGCAGCATCAGCTTGAGAGGGGAGCAGTGGGAGGGGGGCTGCGGAGGAAGGTTCCAGGCTAACTGCCCCAGCCAAGGGCGCCGGCCTCCATTCCTGGCACAGGGGACGGGTGTGTGTGTGGTGTGTGTACCGGCCAGCCTCCTGCTTCCAATGGCTGGAGGGCTATGAGTTTTGGCCCCTTTCCCCCCTGGACAGACCAACTCCCCAAAGGGGGGCTTATTTAACGCTCAGGCTTCTCCAGCTGCGGTGGGAGGGGCTCTGAAGCAGGCCAGGCCACGCAGGGGCCCCTTGGGCTCTCTGCCCAGGCCCCAAAGCCCAACCCTTCCAGAGCTCTGACCCTTCGGAAGTCCGCTTGCAGCAGCGGGCAAAGGCACCCTTGGGGACCCGCTGCCCCACCTGCCCCAGGCCCGCCACCTGCTGCAGGCGCCCGCCCTCCTCCCAGACACCTCCGCTGCCGTCTTTGGCCCAGGGAGGGCCTTGGTCCCTGGGCTGCTGCTTGCCTTGTGAATCCCCCTCCTCCTCCTAAAGAGGCAGGCTCCAAGGACGGGCCCAGGTGGCTTTCGGAACACCCGGCCTGCAGCAGGTTCAGCCCCCTCCCCCCCTCCCAGGTAGCTGGCAGCCAGCCCATAGCAGGCTCTCTTGGGACAGAGGCCGGACCGTGGGTGCGCTGCCTGCAAGCGTGGAAGTCGGCCAACGGCTCGGCTGCTTCAGCCTCCTGCTGCCACTCCTCTGGGCTCGATCCTTCCGCGGGCCTTTCCAGCAGTCAGGAAGAGCTGGGCTCAGTTGACCCTGCAGGAAGCCCAGGGGGTCAGTCTGGGAGGGGGCTGGGCGTGCAGAGGGAGAGGATTGGGGCCAGAGGAGACCGCTGCAAGCTGGGTATCCTGAGTTGCCTCTCCCTCTTCTTGGGTGCCAGTGGCCCCCCTCCATCCTGCACAGTCGGCACCCTGGAAGAGAAGAGTCCGCCTCTGGAGAGGCTGCCCCCACCACGTGAATGGCGTTTGCGGGAAAAGCCTTGGCAAAGCCCAGAGGAGCAGCACGACGGAAGGGCCAGCAAAGGGGGGAGGGGTCAGCTGGGGCCCCGAGGCCAGAAGGCAGAGGAGCTCTGTGGCAGCACCAGTGGAGTGCTCCACCCCACCCCACCCCACCCCACCCCACCCCACCCAGCAACAGCAGCAACTCGACCAGGTCTTGGGGACAACGGATGGACAGCTCTGGGTGGACGAGGGGAAGCCGAGGGCTTGTGATTGAACATTACAAAATCTCCCTGCCAGCATCTGTCCGGGTGATGTTCTTGGCCAATAAAAGAGGCCCCTCAATCAGTGGAGGTTACCGGGCATCAACAGAGCCCCATTTAGGGTGCCCAGGAGAAGAAGCTAGAGGCCCCAAATGGGGGCAGATGAATGGCACACGACAAAGGGCTGGCAGAGGCGCCAGGCCAGGCCGGAGTTAGGAACTCCTCCAACTGCGGCCCTCTGCGCTTCCCAGGGAAAGCAGCCCTCTGCGGCCTATAGTGCAAAGTCTGGGCAATGGAAAGCCAGCCCCTCCCCAAATCAGCCCCGCCCCTTTGTTCCCAGCAAGACCAACAGAAAAGGGAGTGTCAACTGAGGTGAGGTTGAACTGCAAGACCTCTGCCCAGGGGCCCTCTGTGTTTTGGGGTGGGGGAGTTTTTCCTCTGAAGTGGCCCTGCACTGCCCCGGTCAGGGTGTGGCCCAGTCTAGCCTGGGCTCTGCGGATTCCTGGCAGTGTCCCATCCAAGCGCTGACCCCCTGCTTAGCCCTTGGAGGGTGGTTGCAGCCGCCTTCTCCATGGCAACCTAGAGACTGACAAACTCAGACGAAACCAGCTGAGGTTCGGCCGCCAAAGGCCGGGCTCCAAACATGTCAGCCGTTGTTCCTCAGGGCTCCCCACCTCCCTTTAGCTTGCAGCCCGTAAGATCCTTTTCAAGCAAGACCCCTTTCTGCAACCCCCCCCCCAAGGCCTGCTGAAATCCATTCTGCCTTGAGCTGGGCAACTGTGGTGTTTACAGTGGCACTGAAAGCGATTTAAACCTTTCATGAAGTCCAACATACCCATTTGACCCCCCCCTCACCCTGCCTTGCCAAGAGGCCCAAAGGCTGCGCTTGCAAGGGCCTCTGCTTCTAACGCCCTGCCTGGGATCGGCCTTCCAGCCCTTCCGGCCCACTTGGGGCAGAGGGACCGAGCGCCTCGTCCGCCAGCCATGGGACGCAGCAGCTGCTGAACAGGCAAAGACAATCCTGGGCTCCGTTCTGTGCAGCAGTAAAGCCTGCCGCTCACAGGGAGGGACTGGGCCCTCCAGTCCACCTGGTCAGACTCCCCCGCCAAGTTCTGGCCCCGGACTCAGAAAGGGCGGTGACACATCGACACGGACTCTGAGGAGCGCCCTCGAGGCTCTGGACACCAGGACGTCCCTGCCAAGGCAGTGCCCACCTCCAAGGAGCCCAGGGGCTAATGAGGCGCCTTTGCCTGCCCTGCCCATCGCCCTGTGGCTGCTGCTCTCCTCTCTCCAGGCCAAGCGGACAGCCACCTGTCTCAAGGGGGGGGGGCTCTGATGGGGGGGGGGCTTCACTGGCTTGACAGCCAACCTCCTGGCTCTCCTGCCCACCCAGCATTTTGGGTTTTGCCCTGCAGGCTGGACCTCCTCTTGGCTCACCCCTAAGTTTCCAGGGCCCTCAACGGCCAAGCGGTCTTCCAGCCAGTTCTCTGCCGCTGCCTGCCCCCTCCCCATCCAGAGCTTGGAGGAAGGGGCTGAAAGGGTTTCTCCCTCCCAGCACCGCTCTCCTGGGCCCCCTCCCACACCTCTGGCCAGAGGTTCCCCAGCCGGACTGCGTTAGGAGGGAGGGGCTCCCCCTTTGCCAGAGGCTCCCCCATCTCCCCTGGGAGTGAGCTCCCCCCCACTTGGGCTTCCTGAGAAAGGCGGGGCTGAGGGCAGACGCTCTTCCGCCAGGAACTCCCTGGCTTCCCGCCACGCTTCCCCCTCCCATTTCCCTGCCTGAATTTCCGCTTCCAGTGGCCTGAAGCCCGTTTGCTGCACACCCCATGCCCTCCCTACGTCCCCTAGAGGAATTCATTGGGGGGGGGAACAGTGACCACCCCCAGCCAGCCGCAGAGAAGGCTGAGCCCAGGAGGCCCCCCCCTGAGCAGTCTCTCCGAGGAGGGCAGCCGAGTGTGGCTGCTGGCTGCCCCTGTTAACGCAGCGTCCCTGGGCTCCCAGCACACACGCACACACACAGAGGCGGTCGGGGGTGTAGGCAGCCTGGTCTTTATTGGTCCTGGTGCTGCGTCAAGCCCAGGATTCTCCCTGGCTGCTGCCTGCAGAGGGAGGGGGCTCAGCCAGGGCAAGAGGCCTCTCATTCCAAAATCTGTCCCAGGTGCACCAGAGCTACACCCGAGGCCTCGGCCAGCTGAGCCGCCGGCTGGTGGGAGCACCAAAGGTGCCCCCCGAAGGGTGGTCCTGCTCCAAGAGAAGCTCAGCCGCGTTGCCAGGGAGGGCTGCGGAGGGTGGCTGTGGGGGGCAGGGGGTGGGATGCCTGTGGGGAAAAGGTGGGGCAGCCTGCTTAGCCTCCCAGGGCGGGGGCTGCCCAGTCTCTCCGCTGCTGCTTGCGGGGCCTGGAGGGGAAGGAGCTGCTCCAGCGGTCAGGGTGCAGGGACATCCCTGGGAACAGCTTCTCTTCTGGGGTGACCTTAGCCGAAGCAGAGAGAACATCCCACAAAACAGGCCCAGGCCTTCACCAGGGTCGAGCAGCCCGCCCGAGCAGGCTGCCAGGCTGCCAGTGCCCTATTAGACGGTGCAAGGGCTGGCCTGCCTCTCAGCTGGGATGCCTGCAGCCCCTCTGGCCACAGAGCCCGGTCCCACCCTCTCTCTCACCTGGGGGCTCAGCGCCAGGCCCAGCTGCTCCAGCGGCAAAGGCCGCCCCAGCCGGATGGCAGGAGGGGAGGCACCGATCCCCTGAGTGTGTCCGGCGCAGCACAGCCTGGAAGGAGAGGCCAGATGCTGGGTGGCCAGAGCCGCTTGGGGCCCATGTGCCGAACCAGGACTCTGCCCACCCGCTCTTCCCGCAACCGGCTCACCTTCCTCGGGACGGGGCTGCTGGGCGCCGAGGCGCTGCTGTACAGGCAGAGGCTGGGGGTGGAACAGCTGGGGGAGAGCATCTTGGAGGCGGGGGCAGATTGGCTGCCTGTCCCCTTCCGCCCCAGAAGCCCCGGGGAGAGGTATCTTTCATTGATCTTCAGGTTGGTCCTTCCCTTGACTGCAGGAGAGAAAGCCACCGAGGTGGGGAGGCAGCCGGGGACCCCTCCTGCTTGGCCTGCCTTGGGGGTTCGGGCCCCTGCGCAGCCCCTCTCACCTCTGCAGGGGTCGTTCTTCACCAGGAACTCATCCAGAGCCGTCCAGCCACCTCCGACTCGCACCATCAGGGTACTTCGCAGAATTCGGACCATGCGCAGCTGCTGGCACTCCCCAAGCTGGACAAGCAGCAGGAGGGGGGCATTTGACAGAGGCCAGTCTTGGGGTTCCCGTATGGGGAGAAGGCTCCCTCTCAGTCCCACCATCCTCAAGGCAGAGGCAGAGCCCCGTGGCATGGCTGCCCCACTCATGGGCCCCGAGGGCAGAGCTGGTGTGAGAAATGAGCGCCGGGAGAGGCCCGGGCAGGGTAGGCCAGGCCCTCTTCGGCCCCTTGGCCACTCAGGCTCCCCTGCCAGCACAGAGCACTCTGATCCCGGAAGCTGAGGTAGGTCCCTGGCTAAGCAGGAAGGGCCAAGAGACACCGGGTGCAGAGGGGATAGGGGGCGGCGAGGGCACAGGCTCACTCTGTAACGGGTGGCACCAATTTGCTCCACTTGGAAACACTTCACACAGTTGCACTCGGCCACTTGTCGCTTCACCTGGGTCACAAAAGAAAGGCCGGGGGAAGGAGTGCCCCCGATTCCTCCTACACACGCATGCGTTGGCAGGGGCCTAGACTCCAGCCCAGGCCGCCAGCCTCTCTTTCCGCTCTGGGGAAATTCAGTTGCCACAAGCCTGGAGGCCTTGCCTGCTCTCCCTCAGCAACCGCCGGAAGTCAGCCAGTGCTGAGCAGGTGCTGCTGCTGCTGCTGCTGCTGCTGAGCGGCCCTCAAGAGCCTCCCAGTGGGGCACCTGGTGGCCACTTGGCCGCCTGTGCCGACCTGAACTGCTGGCCTCCAATGAGAGAATCCAGCCAGGAGGCCAGCAGGAAGTAGCAAAAGGCGACCGTCTGAAGATTCCCCAGCCACGGCCGTGCCAGAAGTGCCCTCGTGAAGAAGCGTGAGCTCTGGCTTTATGGCTGCACCCCTTGGGCGATGGAAACCCCAGGCCCTTTCCACCTGGGACCTCCCCGCATCCCTCCTGCCATTAGTCCTCGTTCCTGGGCACCCCCCTCCCTCCTGCTTCTCCCCTGGCGCTCAGCTGCCTCTCCAAAGGGGTTGGCCCCGGACTCCCCCAGGCGGGCTGAAGAGCTCCCGTTCCCGTGCAGAGATCTGCGACTGCAGCCTCCTTGGGACGTCCCTTCTGCTCAGGTTCCCCTTTCAAAGGAAGCGCCTAAAGGCCCCCTGGGGACAGAACTGGGGAGACTCTGAAGCGGCAGTTTGGGGGTCAAAGTGCACAAGTGTGTGTGTGTGTGTGTGTTGGGGGCACCCTGGTTCCCCTACCTCCTCTTGGATGTGATCCACATTGGCTGCCCTTTGCAGGACGTCCCGGCTGGGGTGCAGAGCACGGATAAATTCATAATAATCAATGAAACCATCCCTGTTCACGTCAAAGATTTTGGCCACTGCTTTCATCTCCGGCAGGCTGGTGGGGAATTCTGGAGAGGAGAGAAAGGAGTGGAGGAGAGCACCCCACCACCCTGCATCCCCGGCAGAGGCAGAGGCAGAGGCAGAGGCAGGGGGCGGCCCTTGCAAGGGGCTCGGGCAGGAAACCTGGGCCGCTTGGCCTGTCCCAGCTCACATTTGTGGCACCCTGCAGGAAGGCAGCCCCGGAGCAGCACTCACTGGAGGCCAGGACACGCCCAATAAACTCCTGCTGGGTGAGGCGCCCATCGTGGCCCCGGTCAATGCTGTGAAAGATGTCCAGCACCCGGGACTTCCTGTGCCCGATCCACTGCAGGTACCGCTTGCGCCAGGCCGCAAAGTCGAAGCTGACCCTTTCTTCCAGCTGTGGGTGAAACGGAGAGGGCACGCCCGCAGCCTCGGGGGCCAGGCACCAGGACCCCCCGAGGACCCCCGAGGAAAGGCCACGGGCAAGGCAAGAAGCCCACGCCCTCCCTTGCTCCTCCTCCTCCTCCTGGCAGGCAGAGAGCAGAGGGAGCTGTCCCAGGAGGGGACTGGCACGGTCCCGCTGGAGGTAGCCAAAGGCAGCCCCGGCCTCCTGCCAGGCGCACGCGAGGGTGGCACCACCCACGGGGACTGTCCCTCCCTGCAGCTGCCCCACCACTCCAGGGCCGCTCTTCGCCCCCCGCACTTGGCTCTCCTCACCTCCGGATGGCGTTGCTGGGAGCGCTGGAGCCGACGCTGCCGGTCCTGAGCTGCCAGCCAGAGGCACTGCCAGCGGTGCACCAGTTGGGCTAGGAGTGGGCTCTGGGGCTCCAGGTCTTCCAGGGGCACGAGGGGGGGCTGGGGCAAAGCTCTGCTGGTGCCATGCCATCCTGCAAGGGGGTGAGGGAGGGTCCCACCTAAAACCTGGCGCTATTCGACAGCTGGCTGCCACTTGAGAGGAAGGGCAGGGGGCACATCAGGAACCAGAGCATTGCCCCCCAGGGGCCTGATTAGGGCATCCAGGCCGGGGAGGGCTGCGGGTGTAAGGGGAGCTGTGAGCTGGGTCTCAGCACAGGGCTGGCCTGCCCCCACCGTTTGGGTTGTATTCGTTTTATCTTTAATTCTCCCATTTGATAAAACTCTAAAGTCTTCACCCTCTCAGGCCGAGGAGGTTTCTGAAGGGTTCTGGCAGCTTAATTGCCCAAATAACGAGGCGCCCCCCTTTTCCTGAGCCTCCAGGGGGGACTTGCAAAGGGGCTCAGGATGAGGCTGCGGCCAGTCGCTCTGAATGGCCCACTTCCAGCTCAGAGCAAGGGCTGCGGGTGAACCAGGGATTGGTGGCACTGACCAGAAGACCACTGGCAGGAAGAAGCCGTCGCCCCCACTTGTGCCGCCCTTTCCTGCCTGCCGTTCTTGGCCGCCTTCTCCACCTCGGCCTGTTTGTGGCCCAACTCCTGCAGGAAGACCTGGGGGGGAGGGGGTCCCCTTCAGCCACTCAGAGCTCGGCAACCAGGGGCCGTTGCTGCAAGGCCAAGACCCCTCTTCAAGGCCACCCCACAGCGGGTTTTGATGGCACAACCCCCCGCGCAGGCACCCGCAGGCCCTGGGGCACACTCCCAGGGCCTCCCACCTTGGCTGAAATGCGCCACCAGGGCTGCAGCAACCTGGTCGCCAGGGGCTCCCTCAACTGCGTGGCAGAGGGCACTGCCCAGCAGACAGGCCTCCCCTGGCAGCTCCGCCAAGGAGCGAAGGGGGTGGCGGCTGCAGAGGGTCAGAGGGCCAGGGACAAGCAGGGGTCACTCACGCCTCAGCCAACCCCCTGCTAAGAGGCAGGAGAGGCAGGGGGGCTGAGCCCCGCCCAGCTCCCACTGGAGGCTACGACTGGCTGGGGCTGGCATGAAGGGAAAGGGGGCAGCCTGGTCACCTTACCATGTGCTGAATATGGAGCTCCTCCAGCTGCCTGGCATCCTCCGGGAGGGGCTCCTGATCCCGCAGGCTCAAGGCCTCTTCGGCAGCTGTGATCCAGTCGCTGAGCCTCTCCAGCACCTTCCGGTCCACAGCCAGGGAGGCCGCCTGGGCCTGCAGCCGCTGCTCCTGCTGCTGGACCCGGCTGCAGAGCTGTGGGAGGAGGAGGAGGGCAATGGGGGGGAGGAGAGGGGCACAGATGGTGAGGGAAGAGACGCCCTTCTCCCCACCCCACTGACCCAGTGGCCCCACTGGAGGCCGCCCACACAAAGCCCAGAGTGTCCACACACACCCTCCACTCTGCTCACCTGCTGGAAGCGGCTCTTGGCAAGGTCGACCCAGGAGTGGACGGTGCCCACCGCATCGGGGTGGCAGGCGCTCAGGATCTCCTCGCCCAGAGAGCTGATGCAGTCCAGCTCCAGCTGCTGGCATTGCACCCTCTGCTGCAGCTCCTGTTGGCGGTGGGCCAAGCCATCAGCACCCCCTGGGGCCAGTCCCCCCCCCTCCACGGAAGGCTCTGGCATGAGACTCTGCGAGAGGAGAGCAGCAGGGCCTCCCCACCCCCCACCCCCTGACCTCGAGCTGGCTCCGGCCCTCGGTCAGGGCCTCCTCCTCCTCCGGGGGTGCCCCATCCACGACCGACTTCTCCAGGCCAGAGAGACGGCTCAGGAAGGTGCACAGCAGGCGGTGGAACTCCTCTGCCTGCAGGAGAAAAGGATGCCTGCCTCACGGGGCTGCCATTCTGGGGGGCAGAATATGGGTGCTCTTGGCATCCAGAAGCACTCTGGAAGGCGCCCGGCTTCAGGAGGGGAACCGGGCAAGCCGCCTGCCCGTCCCGTGTCCCAGCGCAGGTCCTGCCTTCCACCCAGCTGTCCTCCTCCCACCGCTGCCCTCTGGCCTGTCCACATGCCTGCCTCAGGGCCCCCTCCAGCCGGGTCTGCTGGGAGACGGAGAGCCGGCCGACGTGTTCCCAGCGCTCTTCTAGCTCCTCCATCTGGCTCTGCAGCCACCGGGTGTCCACGCTGCTCCCACCTCGTGCCAACTCCTGTGCAGAGCACCTCAGCGTCCTGAGAGACACCGCCCGCTGGCCCAGCTCTGCCTGGAAGGCCTGCTGGGGCCGAGAGGAGGCCTCACTGCTGGGCGCCCAGGCGGGGCAGCCGTCCCGCCCCTTCCTCCTCTCCACCAGGGGCTTCTGTGGGCACGCCAAGCCCATCTCGCCCGGACCCTCCACCAGTGGCGTTGCAAACAGCTCCTCCTGGCCCCGCCTCCTGGCTCGGGCAGTGGCACTCTCCCGCACCTTGTGCTGCTCCATCAGCGTGCCCACCAGGTCTCTGTCCCCAGCCACAGGGGTCTCCTCGGCCAGCTGGGGCTCGACCCAACAGAGCCAGTCCAGGAGGCTCTGAAGGGCGTCGCTGAAGCAGCCAGAGGACAGCAGGAGCTCCTCCAGCTTCTGTTGCCTGAAAAGGGTTGGCAGCAGTGAGGGGGTGACGAGGCCTCTGTGCCCCCTTCTCCAGGGTGAAGTGCCAGGCCCCCCCAAGTGGGAGCTCCTTGCAGCAGCCGCCACTCAGGGCGAGCGCCTGCCAGCCTGCACCCAATTCAGCAGCAGCTGAATCCAGGCGGGAGCGGGAAGTCCGGGCCCTTCTGAGCAACGGTTCCACGGGGCGTGGATGTGGGTCCAGAGACGCTTGAAGCCCAGATGGTCCCATGAGTGACCCCCTCAATTACCCTCCCTGGTCCTTGCTTGCAAGTTTCACACACACGCACACACACACTGGGACCAGGGACTTCCAGAGGTTTTGTTGGCCCCGCAGGCCAGATCTGGCTTCCCTGGAGGGCAAGGGCGGCTTGGGCAGTCAGTGCAGACCCGGCGGGGCCCAGAGCCTGCAGAGGACAGGCAAGCAGCCCCCCCAGGGCCCTCTCTGTCCCCTACCTCTCAGCCGCCCAACTCCACAGGGCCCCCCAGCGCTCCTTCAGCTCCCTCTGCATCGCGTCCAGCTCCTGGCCGTCAGCAGGGAGGAGGGCCCTGCCGCGTAGGAGACCCCCCTGCTGCAGGGCGGCCTCAAAGATGGGACGCTTGGCCCGCAGGCGCCTCTGGAATCCCTGCAGGGACAGTTGGAGAAACGGCTTTGCCTCCCCTCCCCCCGTCTGCCCTGGGAGGGAAGCCGTCTCCTTGATGGGGAGTTCCAAGGGGGGTCCTCCAAATTCAACTGCTGACATCACGGGACAGAGCAACCCCCCCCCCCCCCGGACCCAGGGTATAGTGCAGGAGAAGGGAGAAGCTTCCACAGACGGTGGGCATGACGCAGTGGGTCCCACCCCCACCCCCCCGGCTCACCTTGTGCTGTCCCAGAAGGGCCTTGAGGTCCTCTGGCTTCACAGGGGGGGCACCTGCGGGGGCTGGGCAGGCTGATTCCAGCCCATCCATCCATTTGAGGAGCAGCTGCCAGGACTCTCGGAACTGTAAGGCCAGAGCAGCACTGCACTAAACCTCCCTGGGCCCGCCTGCCCTGCCCCATCTCCCATTGCCCCTGGGGGGGACGGGGGGGTGTCTGTGTGTGTGTGAGATACCTGCTTGGCCTGCTGGTGGGCCTCTTCCAGCACCTCCCCCCTCTCGGTCACTTGCTGCAGGACCTTGGCCAGCCGCTCCTTGGCACTGGCCACCAGGCTGCGAGGACCTCCGTTGTCCTGGGTCAGGCAGGCAGCCCCCACCGCCAACCCTGCCAGCTTCTTGCTCTGGGCTTCCGCCTCCTGTGCCAAAGCCTGCAGGGACAAACCAGGCAGAGGATGCCAGGAGATCCCTGGACCAGCTCTCCTCCTCCCAGGGGCCATGCCGCCCAGCCTCTCAGCAGAAGACCGGAGAGGGGCACTTGACGGGGCCCCACAAAGAGGGCTCAGCCACCACTGCGACCCGGCCAGTCTGCCCTGGGCCAAGTGGGAATGGCAGGCAGAGCCTTCTTCCCAAATGATGCCAAGGGCACCCATGCCACCCGGGGGGCTCCCCTCCCTTTGCCAGCCGGCTGCGGCTGACCTGCTGCTGCCCCCTCTGTTTGCTGACTGTGTCCAGGATGTAGCTGGGAGGAGGCAGGGCGGCCAAGGCCTCCTCGGTCTGCTTGACCCACTTAAGGAGCTTCTGGAGGGCGGCCTGGACCCCGGCAGCCCTGTTGGGGCTTTGGAGGAGCTGCTCCTAGGAGGAGGAGAGAGCAGCGTGGGCTGACCCCGTGCAGGGCGAGAGGCCCGCCCCCCGCAGCCGCCCTCCTGCCCACCCACCTTCTGCTCTTGCAGGCAGCTGCTGAGGCTGGCCCACTTCTGCTCCAAGGCCCTCAGGCTGCGCTCGGCCATAGAGGCCCCGTTTGGGTGGCAGGAGGCCAGCAGGGGCCGGAGCTTCTCTTGGACTCGCTGGTATGTTGGCCACTTGGATTCCATCTCTTCGCACAGTTCCTGCCCAACCGCCAGACCCACCCAGGTGAGGCTCCCCAGCCGCCCCCTCCGTCCTGCCCAAAGGCGGCCCAGGCGGAAGAGCAGCGTTTGGGGACCGGCAGGAGATCAGATCCTGCCCGCCAGGCAGCCTCCCACACGGAGATGGCCTGCTTGCTTGTTCCGCTTCAGCCCAGGGAAGAAGCTTCCTCCCACAGGCCTGGGATCAGAGCCCGCCAGCCCCTGGCCCCGGATCCTGCATCTGCCCCAGAGGCAGCCCCACACGGAGGGACATCTGGGCCTGGGCCTTCCAACCCTTCTGGGTGCGGAAGGAGGCCCCGGACGGCTCCCATCATGCCTTGCGGTGGCTCTTATCGCCGTGTCCCTGGCACGCGGTGAGCTGCTTGGGGAGGAACTCACCAGGAGTGCGGCCAGCTTGTCCTTGGTGGCTTCAGAGGGGTCCCAGGTGGGCTTGGAAGAGAAGAGCTGCAACTCCACCTGGTCCAACCACTGCACCAGCCCAGCTACCTCCAGGGAAACCTCCCGCACCTTTGGGAGCACCAGGCGGAGACAGCGGGCAGAGTGAAAAGGGTGGGCAGGCTGCAGAAGACCATCCAGCTGTCCCCAGGCCCAAGAGGGGCCTCCCGGCTGCTGGCCTTCCAGCCCTGGGAACGCCTGGCCGTAAGGCCTCCCACTCGGCCTCACCTGGCTCAGCTTGTGCTCCAGGGCCAGCTGGCGGTGCTCCGTCTTGGCCAGGACCTGGCTCCACCGGTGGCTCAGCTGCCGGAGGCTGCCCTGCAGGACCTCCGTACGGGCCCCACTGCCATCACTGGGCAGCTGCAGACGCCAGCCAGCCTCCTGCACGGCCTGCACCATCATTGAGTGAGACAGGACGTCCTTCTGCAGCACCTGCCAAGAGACGGCGTCAGTCTTGCCAACTGCCCACCAGAGAGCAACCCTCTGCCAGGGAAGGGGGCGCCAGGATCCTCCTGGTCCCAAAGTCTCTGGTGCTGGTACAGCTCTCGCTTGAAGGCCTGCCCGGGGAGTCAGGGACGGGATGGCACAGGCCCTCCACAGGGCACCACCCTTCTCTCCGCAGAGAGCCTGGCAGAGCCCCTCCTGTTGCTCCCTGGGGACTGCACGAGACTGGCGGTCCCAGGGCCACCCTGAGCCGTGGGGCTCTTCCTGCTCAACTGTGCCGGCACCAGCACAGACCCGACCCTGCGCGGGGAAGGACTGGCTGCCATTCCTCCAGAGGGTGCCACAGACCCTCTGCTGCTGGACCGTGCTGGGGCCCTGCCCACCTGGCAGCCACCACCCCCGCTGACCTCAGCCAGGCTCTTGGGCACAGGCATCCCCCTCCCCGCTCTCCTCACCTTCAGCTCTGGGTCCCCCTCCCCCGGGACCTCGGCCTCTGCCTGCCAGGCCAAGAGCCTCTGGGGAGAAGAAACCAGAGGGAAGTGGGGGGAGGGTCCGGGGGAGGCAGGACTGAGTCTGGGGAGGCTTCCTAGGGCTGCTCTTTAGATCTGAAAGGAAGGCTGGCAGATGCTCTGGGGGGACCATCAGCTGGGAAAGGGGGGGGCTCGCAGGGGCCACCCTGGAGGGAAAGTCACCTGAACGGGGCATCTGAAGGACACAGCACTTCGGCCTGCCCCGCCTCTTCTGGGGGTCCCCGGCAAGTTTGCTGGTTGGTCACTTGACCCCCCCTGCCCAGAGCAGGAGAGGGCAGAAGCCCCTTCCCTTGTGCCCACCATGCGCTCTGGCCACGTCTTCTTCTCCCCAGACAGGAAGCTCCCCTCACCTGCATCGTCGCTGGGTCGGTGACCGAGGCCGGCAGCTGGTCCTCCAGGTGCTTCTGCTGCTCTGCCCACATCCTGTTCAGGCTGTGCCAAGACGAGTACAGCTGCGGGGGGGGAGACAGAGGAGTCAGGGGGAGCTGCTGGGAGGGGCACAATGCGGCTTCCAGGACTCCAGTCTCTGCACCCTGGGTGCTCCAGCACCAGGAGAAGGAAAAGGGGAAGGTTCCCAGAGAACTCGCTGGGTGCCAGGCTGCTGCCTCTCCCCCCACCCCCGCTCGGGCGGGGCTCACGTCGTCCAGGCTCTTGGTGACGGTGGGCTTCTCTGGGTCTCCGCACAACGACATCAGCTCCATGCCGCAAGCCCCCAAGGAGTCCAGCTCGCTCTGCAGAGCGTCCAGCTTGCCACGCAGGGCCTGCAGGGTGAAAGGCCACGGGTGCCACTAGCCGAGCCCTCCACCCCCCCAAGTGGCCATCTCCAGGGAGCCTGAACCCCGTGAGCTGTTGGAGAGTTGGAGGGGCCACCCAAAATGACAGGGAAGGCCGGGGCCTGTCGAACGGCAGAGGGAGAATGGGAGAACTCACCCCGGCCATCTTGCCAAGAGACAGCTGGCTGTGGGACAATTGGGCGAGGAGGCGGACGTGACAAATGTGGTCCACCACCATTTCTCCAACCTTCTTTCCATGGACAAAAATGGAAGATGGCGAGTCGTCTTAGACCCGCGGCAGGCAGGGCCAAGGTGAGTGGTGAGGCTCCACTGATGGAGACAGCCCAAAGGCAGCGTGCTGTCCCACCCCATGGAACCCCCAAGGCCACCGGCACTGGCCTCCTGGGTCTTCTCTCCTCCGTGGCATATTGACCCAAAAGAGGGGCCTGGCCACTGAGATCTGGCTCTCCTTGGAAGAGCTGGGGGTGGCAGCTGCAGGACCTTCAGCCCATCCCCCAGGCATTGCTCCTGCTCTGCGGGGCCAGGGACTTCCCCAAGGTAGCAGCTGCTCGGACACTACGAGGGGGGCTTCTCCTGGGGAAAAGTCCTGAAGAGTCTTGTGGTCCAGCCTGTACCTGCATGGCTGCCAGCTTGGCCGGGATATCCTTCGGATCAGAGGCCGCGGTGTCTTCCAGGTCCAGCACCCTTCGCTGGGTGTTGCCGAGAGCCCCGGCCAGCTTGGCCAGGCCGGGCCAAAACTGTCTGGCCAGGGCCAGGAGTTCCTGCAGGGAGGCCTCGCGCTCTTTCTCCAGCTCCCCCAGCAGCTGCCATTGACTCCACAGGTCCTGCAGGCGCTCCTGGACGGCTGCAGCAGCAGGAAGAGGGGCTGAGGCCAGGGAGTGCAGGGACCCCACTTCCGCCAACTGGCTCCACCAAGCGGCCATTGGGCCTCAAACCAGCTGGGACCAACCACGCAAGACATGCAGCCCGGACAGCTGCGTTCCCACAACACTCTGAGTCCCAAGTAGGCCAGTTCCGTCTCAGCCTAATGTGCAATATTGTAAGAATCTAGCCCAAGTTTGAGCCTTGGGCCCCCCAAGAAGATGGTGGCCCAGGAACACAGCCCCTTCCTCCCTCCCTCCCTCCCTTCCTTCCCTGAGGCTATGCGCAGAGCGCTACTGGGGGCTCTCCGGGCACCCAGGCCCAGAGGAAACTGCCCTCAGGCCACAGACTGGGTGTCCTGGGGGAGTGGGAGCCCCCCCCCCAAGGGGACTGGCTGGGAGGGTACCTGGGTGTGCAGTGCTCTGCAGGGTGGCTTCAAGCTCCACCCCCTGCCCATGGAGGGTCTCGAGGGCCACGCCCAGCTTTTCCAGCTCCACCAGCCGCAGGCTGTTCTCCCAGAGCTGCTCCTGGAGCCAGACGGGGTCTCCCCGCAGAGCAAGTGGGTGCCGCGTGTGGTCCTGCAGCCATGCCAGACTCCCGGCCACCAGCTCCAGCCCCTCGGATAGCTGCCAGGAGGACAGGAAGGCCAGGGTCACCCTAGGGGCTTTTCTGCAGGCAGGAGGCAAGGAGAGGGCCACACCAAGGCGGGGAGGGTGCCTGCCCTGAAGGCAGCTGCTCTCGAGCAAGGAGGGAGCCCCCATCGTTGCCCCAACTGTGGGCCTTTGCACAGGTGGGCACAGCCACTGGAGGGTGATGGTCCTGGCTTACCTGGCTGTATCGTGGGAGGGCCTCTTCCAGCGTGGCGGTGGCCTGTTGGGCCTGCTCTCGGAGACCGCCATTCCGATCCTCGGCCACCTGCAGCCTCTGCCAGAGCGGTGTCGCCTCCCGCGGACATAGCTCGGCCAGCCACGCGGCGATGCGCTGCAGCTTCCCCATCTGAGGCTTGTGCTCGGCAATGGCCTCCCGCAGACCCTGCGCAGGGCAGAGGCGGGAGCAGCTGTGGGTCATGCAGGGGTCCTAAACTGCCCCCGGTTGCCCCCGCCACTGCTCTCACCTCCAGTGCCTCCTGCTGCTCCTGGCAGGCATTGCAGCCAACGATGCTGCCGGGCAAAAAGGCCGCCACCGCCTGCTGGGCCTCCTCCAGCCACTGGCTGAGCTCTGCCTGGACCTCGGCATGCTCAGCCAGGGGCAGCTGCCCTTGTGCCAGCTGCAGGGTGCAGGCTGGGCTCTGGCGGCCGAGGGACTCCGTGTCCTCCTGCAGGGCCGCCACCAGGGGCTGCCAGGACACAAGGGACAAAGCGTGGAGGGTGAGCCCCCTGCCCTAAGGAGAAGTGGGCCACCTCCTGCCCCCCAAGGGTGACCGCAGAACACAGAAGCTGGGCAGGTGGAAGCAAACGGCCCCCACGGCCGGCTGGTCTTTGCAAGGGCCATTTGGTCTCAGAGAGGATGCCGGGGGAGGGGGGCACCAGCAGGGCCACAGCCTCCCTGCTTTCTTCCCAACGGCCGGGCCACGAGCAAGGGGGGGGGCGGGCGGGGGGGGGGGGGGGGGGGGGAGCTTCCTAGCGGTAACAGTTAAAAGTGGAAATAATAACCTGAGCAGCCTTGGGGGGCCTCAAGTGGACCCCGGGCCGGGGGGGGGGGTCTGGAGGGGTGAGGGCTGAGCAGGGGGGAGCCCACCCTGACTCCCCACCTTCACCCCCCTGCTCCACCCAAAGCATTTGCTCCCACCAGCCCCAGCCCTTGGGGCGCATCTTGGACAGGAAACTACAAGCGCCACCCAGGCCGGGCTCCTCCTCCTTCCCCATGCCCTGCCGAAGGGGGCATTTCTGCAAGGGCCCGCCTTGCAAACGTCTGGATGACCCCTGCACAGAACGGTCCCCTCAATGGCCCCCGAGGTAAAGACCGAGGACTGCAGCACCCACGGCCAAGCCGGGAGCAGCTCTCGGACAGGGTGCTCTGCCACCTGGGCAAGGCCACCTGGGCATCCTCCGCCCAGCCCAGCCCCCCCCACTCTGTCTCCCTCCCCTGCAGCCCCTCCTGGAGGTCTGTGGGGCAGAGGCCGAGCAGTGGGTCGGCCGGCCTTTCTAGTGAGCCCGGGTGGCGAAGGGTCTCTGCCAGGGGGCACTGGGGACGCAGGGAAGCCGCAGAGGGAGAGGGAGGCCCAGGGATCCCCCTGCCCTCTTTTGGCACAGGATGCGGGGGGGTGCTTGTTCTGGGGACGGGGCAGGCAAAGACCAGCCACCACCTGGGGATCCTCTTTTGCCCTGGCACCTTCCTGGCTGTTCTCCCTGGTTGGGCCTGACTGGCCAGTCCCTGGATGGTGGCCCCTGGGCAGAGGCGCTGCCTTCCGCTTCAGCCCTCCCTGCCCTCCAAGCCCGGCCCAGCTGAGGGAGCCCCATTGCGGCAGCTGCTCTTCCTCCGCCAAATGTCTCCCTCCTTCGGGGAGGCCCGGGATGCACCTCCTGCCACCCTGGGCTGGCTGAAGGGCGTCTGCTCCACCCTCTGGGAGGTCACGCTCCCTCCCCAGCCTTCTGCTCTGGGCAGATGGCCTGGACGTTCAGGGGCCCTGGGCTCAGCCGAGGCCTCAACCTCTGCTCTCCGGCTGAGATGGGAGGCAGAAGACCCGAGTCACCAGCCTCCCCCCCGAAGGGGCCATGGGCTCCCCAGGCAGCCACTATGGAGGAGGGGAAGCCCCTGGTGCTAGGCTGGCACCCCTTAGGCCGGACCACAAAGGGGGGGTGGCGGCGTTGGCAGAAGCAGCAGCAGCAGCCTCAGCTTTCCTGCCCTTGCCAGCCTCTGCCCCAGGTGGGGTGGGGATCGGGCACACGTTGCCCTGCACTGCCCAAAGCCTCCTCTGGGCCTGGGCCCCCCAAAATGGGGTGGGTTTCCCCCCGCCCTACCTTCTCTCTGCCTGCAGGGCCCAGGGGCCCAGGCCCGTCTCCTGCCTGGCTGCCTGGCAAGCGCTGCTCCGTCTCCGGGGGCTGCAGCCCGAGGGCCGGGTCTTCCTGGGCCAGGTCCCGGCAGGGAGAGGCCTCCAAGGTCTGCTCCATCCGCTGCAGGGCGTCGCAGCTCCTCTGGTCCACCAGCAGCAGCCTCAGCCGTAGGGAGTCCACCTTCCCCTGGACCAGCTGCCCTTCTTCCCCTGCAAGAGCAGAGCCCCACCTCAGCCCAGCAAGGGGGGAGGGGCGTCAAGAGAGAGCGGCTGCCAGAGTCCAGCCCCCCCTCCAGGGGTCTCCCAGCTCCACTGGCTGCTAATGCCGAGCAGCTACTTGTAGCAGGTCCACCTGCACAGAAGGGGGCTCCCAGGACCAGAGCCCCCCCTTTGCCCCCCCCCAGGAGGAGGGATGCAGGACCTCTTTTTCTGAGAATGGGGACAAGGGGCACTGAATGAACCGTCCTATTTGAGCTTTTGGGCTTCCTGCGAAGACAGCTGACTGCTACCCTCTTGCTGCCAACGGGTATCGTGCTGGAAACTGAGGGCTGTGGCTGCTTGGGCAGAGCTATGGAACCACTGAAGTGCCCCCTGGAGTCAATTTAACCAAGGAAATCGGCACAAACCATCAGGAGCTTTCCTTCCAAACCTGGGTAGCCAAAGTCAAGGCTGCAAAGGGGTGCTTAGGCCAGCCTCCCCTAACTCTTCCTTGGGGACCAGGACAGGAGCCCCTGCTCCAGAAAGGGTCTCACGTGACGCAGGAGACCTGACCGGCCCTCCTCCCCATGGCTCCACCCGGCCGGCCTAGAGGCAGGAGCCAGGAGTCCGGCGGATTAGCTCCCTTCAGGTTTGGTGCAGGAGGCCCAGCAGGTGCACCCTCCGGAAAACGGGGTGACAGCAGTAACTCCCCAACCGCTCACCAGGGCAGAAGGTGGCAGAGTTAGGGTGCAGTCTGAGGGCTTCGGCTTTGCCTCTCTGGCTGCTCCACGGCAGCTTTTGTGACCAGGCCCACGGAGGCCAGAGCACGAGTGGAGAAGGCGGAGGGGGCGCAGGGAGGGAGGCTGCGGACTGACCGGCCTCATCCCTCTTGGCCCTCTGGGTTAAGCTCTCCCTGGCCCAGGGGCGGAGCAACTTTCAACAGCTGCATATAGTGTTTTTGGGTGGCGAAGAGTCACCGTCAGCTGGACAGAGGGGCATCAGCTGGGTCCATGGCAATGCCACCTCTCTGGGCCCTTCCGAGGGCGCGTCTGGGGCTCTTCTGCTCCAGAAGGATGGAAACTGCTGCTGGCCTGGGGCAGCCGTCCTCAGGGAAGGCCCCGGAGAAGCACAGCTGGTTCAAGAGCCACCTGAAGCCCAAGGCCCCCACCGCTGTGCTAGCCGGTCTGCCAAGCGAGGGCAACGCAAAGACCTACAGAGGGCAACTCGAGGGGAGGCGTGGGGCTCTCCTGGGGCAGTGGGTGCCCCTCTGCTGCCTGGATCTCGCTCAGTGCAGGCTCCGGGGTCTTTCTCGGGGGGCTTGCGTGATGCGCCCAGGGTGGGCTACACTGGGGGAATGTAAGCCTTGGGTCAATCAGACCCTTTCTGGAAGTGAGAAGGCCGCCAAGGCAGCTGCAGGCTTGGCAGGGAGAGGGCAAGAGGGAAGAAACGGCTCTGCCAATAAGGGCATCCACCCCCCTTGGCCGCACAATGCTCTGGCTAAAGATGACTGAGCTCTCCATGGAGGGAGAGACGAGACCTACCGCCTCCACCCACAGCACCGGTGACGCTGGGCCTCCTGCAGGCTGACTCCCACCCCCACCACAAACGCACCGCCTCTTGGGGGGCAAGTGGGATGGGAGGGGCTCCGTCCTTCCATGGCTCCGCACTGGATGGAGCCCAACCTGGGTCGCAGGCGGCAGCCCTGGGGTCCCTTAGCTCTGCAGCTCCAAGAACCAATCGCGGGAGAGCCCGAAGCCCTGGGGAAATGGATCGGGTCTCGCACCTTGGAGAGCGTACGGCAAGGGCCTTCGGGATGGGGAATGGCTCTGGACCCCTGGAAGGGGCTCGGCTGCAGGGAGGCGGCTGCTGAGCCTCCTGCCACTCTCCACCCCTCCCTCATGCTGCCAAGCCCCTCCAGGTCCCCGCCCGGAAGGCTGAACCCAACCTCTTGCGGGCACCTGGCGCTCTCACTTGCCTGGCACCATCTGCAAGAGCCGCCATCCACGTTCCAGGGCCTCTTCCAGTTCTGCCGGCTTCGACTGAACTTCCTCGCGCAGATCCTGGAGGAAAGCAGGCACCCAGGTGACTTCAGGGGGCCCCTCCCCCTCCCCCCTTGGGCCTCCTTGAAGCTTTCCCTGCACCGTGCCTGGATCTGTTGGTGGGCATCTTGGCTTTGTGCCAGGCTCCCCGGGGCTCCCCAGAGTTGGGCCAGTTTCTGCTCCGTCGAGCTCAGCCAGTCTTGGAAAGCGTCAACCGACTCCTGGAAGACGCTGGCAGCAGGGACGATCTGCTGCAGGCAGTGGTGCCTGTGGAAGGGGAGGGGGAGATTGGGAGCAGGCAGCCCAGCAAGGAAAGCCTCCCTCCTGCCCTCCAGGACACCCGGAGCAGCGACGGCCCACAAGACTTGGGCTGGTCTGAGTCTTCTGGGCTTTTGTTCAGGTGGAGCAAAACGGGCCTTTGGCTTTCCAGGGGTTGGGAAACGATCAGAACCCTGGGTGCTGGTGCTGTGTGCAGAATGGGGCACCCGGAAGCGAGGGTGGGCAAACGGGCCCCCTTGCAGGCCCTCTGCACACGCCCCACTGGATGAAAGGCCCCCAGTTGGGTTTGCAGGACATCCAGTTGCTGCCTGAGGCAGAAAAAGGCCCAGCAGGTGAAGGCGTTTTGCCAGGGTGGACGTGAAGACCAGCAAGTGAAGAGCATTGGGGAAGGGAGGGGGGGAGGGCAAAGGAGCTCCTTCTTTCCCTCCCCTCCCTCCAGAGAGGGTTGGCTCTCTCTCTCTACCTGGCTTCGGCCTCCTGGACCAGGGTTGCCCATGTCTCCTGAAGGCTGGCGAGGCCCCTGGGCTGCTCCTGTCCCTCGGCAGCACTGCCAGGCTCAGCAGAGAGCGGCTGGCCAAGGCGGCCGATGTGGGGGGTGCGTTCCTCCAGCAGACGTAGCAAAAGCTGGGGGGGGGGAGCAGAGCAGCTGGTGGGCCTCCCCTCTTGCAGCAGAGCCCCCTCAAGCTGACCTGCATTCTACTCCCCCCCTCCCCCAAATCTGGAGCCACCTCTGCCAAGGTGCGGCTCTTTCCAAAGCCCTGAAAGCTGCAGCTCCCTGCTCACCTTTTGCTCCTGCAGCTGCGCCTTCACGACCTTGGCTTCCCCCGAAGGAGGCCTCTGGTGGCCCATGAGGTCCTCCACTTCACTCACCCAGGCACCCAGCTTCCCTGCGGTCTCCGGGGCCGGCCCAGCGCCCTGCGTGCCTCCTGGGAGGGCAGCTGCCTGCAGGGAGAAGAGGCCTCACTCAGCGCAGCTCCCCCAAAGGGGGCTTCCGGCATCCCCTCGATGCATCTCGAAATGGGGGTTTTCACTGGTGCCGATCGACCCTTTTCGATTCCCAGCAGCTGCTCCCCCTAAGGAGAAGGTGGCTTCCGCTCCTCGGCCCCGCCTGCTCCAACCCCTTGCCCTATTTTCCCCTCTCCAGGTCCCGTGAATGCGGTCAATGGGTCTTTGCAGAACACCCTGAGGTGGTGGGGATGGTCGAAGCCCACAAGCCATGCTGGGGGTTATTCAGGGCTACCCTATTCTGTCCTTGACCAGCCTATGGTCCAAACACGGCCACTGACACGATCCCCACAACTAAGGGAGACGTTCCAGGCTCCTAGCTCCGAAGCCCTTTGCAGAAGAGCGGGGCAGGCACAGAGGCAGAGCTGGGCCCCCACAATGTACCCAAGGGCTAACTACACACACACACACACACACACACACACAGAAGGCGGGACCGGGACCAAGGCAGACTGGAGCCTCCTTCTGGAACCGCCTTGCCCATCCCCCAGCCCAGCTCCCCTTCCAGTCACAGCTGGCAGTCCCCAGAGTCCAGCTGCCTCCCGAAAAAGCACCTTTGGGGCACCATGAGAGCCTCTATGGACTGTAAGGCTCCCCAGAGCTCCCTCCACACAGGTGGGCGAGAGGCCCCCCCCTTCTGCTCTGAAGGTGCCAGCCATTTCCATGAAGTCTGACCCACCCGGGTACAGTTCTCTGTCCCCAAAGCAAACCCCTCCCTTGGCTTTGGGCTAGGTGGGGGCGGGACCCCCCAGAGGAGGGAGGGGATCTGTTTGCAATCCAGCCCTTCCTGCTTTCCTGGAAGGCCTTGGGGCTCCCGGCCCTACTTCAGAGGCCTCTCCGAGAGGATGAGCGGCTCTCAGTGGCCACCCCAGCTCTGTAAGAGCCACAGCCCCCTTGGCTGCAAGGCAGCCTGGCAGCGAAGGGGAGACGGGGCGCAGCACATGGCCAAAGCATTGCCTGGGGCAGAGTGGGAAAAGTTATGGGCACGGTGCCGATTGACCTGGGGCAGGGCTTCTCTGACGCCAGCCAGCACCATCCTGGTCCCTGGGGCCTCCTGGCTCGTGTCCCCACCGGGGAACTCAGTCACTTCCACGATCTCCGTCACTACCGTCTCCGTCACCTCTGTCACCTCCGTCACCTCCCTGGTGGTGGGCGGCTTCCAGGCCCAGCTGGCCCCCAAGCCCTGGGGGGAGGCCCGGGGGGCCAGGGCTCCCTCCACCTGGGCTGGGAGGGGGCAGCAATTCTGCAGCTGGACCTGCAGCTTGGGTTGCTTGGGGAGGGCCGCGTTCCGGCCGTTCTCCGTCACCCGGGGGCCGAGGGAAGCCGCCTCTGGGGACCCTGCGCCCTCCTCCTCGTTCCGGGCGGCCGAGCAGGGCTCCTTCGGGAAGTCTTCGGGCCTGGGGCTTTTCTGCCCCAGGCAGCTGGGCCTGCTGACCGAGTTGCCCATGGCCAGCAGGCAGGAAGGGGCCGGGCTGCCTCTCAGACCCCCCGCGGAATCAGAGGAGCCGCCGCCGCCGCCGCCGCCGGTCTCTCGGGGGCGGAACCGGGCAGGCGGGAGACCGCCGGGGCTTCCCTCGCCCCAGGCCGCGGGCGCTCATGGCTGCTGCTCGGCCGGGGAAGAGCCCCGCGCGGCTTCCAGCTTCGCTTCTCTCCGGACGCTCCGAGTCCCAGCTGAGCGCCTGGCCGGGCCGGCACCTGCTTAGGAAAAGGCGACTTATTGGCGGGGAAGCGCCGGGAGGGCCGCTCGCTTGCAGCCAAGGGCAGCCCCCCCAGGCCCGTCGGCACAATAGCTGCGCGGCCTGGACACGCCCCGCTCAACCGCGCGGCTTGGCGGGGCGGCGGCGGCGGCGGCTCCCAGCCCAGCCGCCCCACGAGCGAAGCGGGCGGCATGAGCGAGACAATCGCCGCGCCTCCGGCCGCTGCATCGGCGGCTCCGCCCGCCGCCACTTCCCGCGAACTTCCCGGGAGACGGCCGGAGCGAGGGACGGGCGGGAGCGCGCGTGGGCCCGCCGGCGCTCGGCTTACCTTCCCGGCCTGAGGCGGAAACCCCCGGCACCTCCACCGGGCGGCTCGGCGTCCTTTGCTCAAGGAGCAGCTGCCCGGCCGGCCGCTCCGCCGTCTCAGCGGCACCTCAGGGCATCCCCGCGGCGGGCCGAGAGACCCCCGCCCGAAGGGGCGGCGGGCGCAGAGCCCACTCGCAGCGGCCGCCCCGCCCCTCGGGCGAGACTCGGCCGGGGCCGCCCAGGCTCGGCGGCAGCAGCGGCGGCAGCAGCAGGAGGAGGAGGTTGCGCGGAGCCCCCCTGCCCTCCCCTCGGCTGACCTCCTTGCACGGAGACGAACCGCCGCCGCCCCCGCGCTAACGCCCCGCTGCCGTCGCTGGGGAAACACGATGGGGCTCCCAAGCCCGCGGGCGGGGGCCGAGGAGGGGGCGGGTGCCTGGACCACCAAGGCCCACAGCCGCGACGGCTCTCCAGGCAGCGCCGCCGTCTGAGGCCGTCGGAGCTCCGTAGGGGCGCGCCCCGAGGCTGCCCAGCCCGCGGAAGTCCCGGAGCAAAGCCAGGCAGGCGAGCCGCAGGCAAGCCCCTTTCTCCTCGCCGGGACCTGCGGCAACCCGGAGCTCAGCCGCCGACGGCCGGCATCCCCGCGCCTCGCTCCCCCGACAGTCTAGCCGGAGCGCCCTGGAGCAGCGCTGGGCAGAATCGGGCTCTGGGGTCGGGAGGCCGTGGGGCTCGTCTGGCTTTGCCCCTCGGCGTTAAGCGGGCTGGGCACAAAGACTCGGGAAGAAGGAAGCCCGGGCCTTCTGCGGGCCCTGGTAGCATTGCCACAGCCCACCCAGGGCACCAGGCGGTTTGCGGTCTGAAGACGCCCCTCTGGAGGCTGCTCCCTGGAAATCCCCCCCCCCCCCACAGCCGCAGCCCCCCCCACCCCTGTCCTCCCCCCCCCCCCAGCGGGTCCTTTTTCTTATGTGGAGCCCACACAAAACGCCTGTCTGGGGACCTTGAAACATTTCCCCGCTCTTTGAGACTTTTAAGTCAAAGGTCAGGAAGGAGATGCCCAGCCAGGGACTCCCCAGTGTGTCCCAGGATAATGCAAAAGTACAGGTCCCCCAAACTCCTTAAAAAAACCCAGTACAGACACCCCTGGGGATGTACAGCAACATAGCACTGGATGTCCCTGGAGCCTGGAGGCGAAAGCATCGGATGAATGCCTGCAAGAAGCAGGAATGACTCTAGCCTAATGAAGAGAAAGACTAGGGGGTGACATGAGAGCAGCCTTCCGGTATTTCAGGGGCTGCCCCAGAGAAGAGGGGGTCCCCCTGGTCTCCAAAGCCCAGAAGGCAGGAGAAGAAGCAACGGATGGAAACTGATCAAGGAGAGAAGTGAGCTGGAACCCAGGAGGAATTTCCCGACCTTGAGAACACTTCGCCAGTTGTCTCCAGAAGTTGTGGGTTCTCCATCCCTGGAGGTTTTCAAGAAGAGACGAGACAGCCTCCCATGGAGGGGGGTTTGGACTAGATGATCTCCAAGGTCCCTTATTCTATAATTCTGGGGTGCTTTTGCCCACAAACTAAAGCTGGCATGATCAGCCAAACCTCCCCTAGGGCCTCAGCCGGGCAGAAGGAGAGGCTGGGCAAGGCCTCGGGCATAGCAGACAAAGGCGCCCTTGTGAAGAGGGTGGTGGGTGACACGGAGGGGCTGAGAAGCTGCTCTCAGCACCCCGTTCCTCCACCTTCCCTCCCCGGATTCCCCAGCAATGTATCGGATGCCAGGCTTAGAAAGAATGGCCTCAGGCTGCACCTGCACCAAATCTCAGCAGGTACTGACAGGTGTGCATTGTCATTCTGTAAAAACAGATTTCTATAAAACTGTACGTGACAAATTACGTGTTATTTTTGTGAGGAGCAGCCCACAATCTATAAGATACACCCAGATGTGTTCAGGAAACAAAATCTTTGTTGTCACAACAAAACCTGTGGAGGGAAGGCGTGGAGTTGGGCGACATATTGGGGTGAAGAGTTAAAACCTGAGCGTCACCGCAGAGGCAGCCCAGGGCAGGTGTGATCTTGACAGGCTGAGTGAGTGAGAGATTATGTTCCACAGAGGCAGATTTTTTCTACAACCCTCCGTCTCCGACCTTTGAGGTCTTCCAGTGCAGCTGCATCCCTCCCTTGGCTCCTGGTCATCCTCTCCTTCCACCTTTGCCAGAGGTTAGAGCCTTTTTGAGAGAGAGAGAGAGAGAGAGATCTTCACGTAATGTGTCCCACATTGAGCCTGGTCCTTGGTGCCTCCATCGACTGGCTTGGGGACTGGTGATCCTTGGCTGTCCACCCTCTTCTCAAGAGTCTTTTCCAACACCAATGTATAAAAACACCGGTTCCCTCTTCTCAAGCTTCTTCCGTCCGACTTTCGCTTCCACGGAGGGTCAACAGGGAAGGCCACGGTTGCACGTTCTGATCTTCTTAGGACTAGACCTGCGATTTACCGAAAGACCAACCAGACGGAGCAGGTTCTAGTGCTATGAGTAGACCTGCCCAGCACCTGGAGACCTTTGTGGGAAAGGCCTAAAGGCCTAAGGCCAAGGCCAGGTAGAGTCAAAGTTGTCCTTGGGCAGAGCAGGAAGCCGGGGCACTGGGAGCAGAGTTTGCTCCAGCCAGTCGGCCGCCCCACTCAGTGATGCAGGGTGAGCAGCTTCTCTGCCATGCCACGGCCACCACCTTCCTTCCAGCCCTACTTCCGCAGGGAAATATTGGCCGGGCAGGAGTTTCCGTAAGGAAAAGCAGCCTGAAACTTCCGTGACAGATCAGAAGTCCAGGGAGTGGCACAAGTGGGCAGACAGCCACAACCCAGCTTCCTCCACGGTGGGGTTTTGGCTCCGCACTGTGTTGCCCACCTTTGCCCGCCCTGGCTGTGTCCCTCTGCAGGGCTGGCCGCCCGTCTCGGCCTCTGCTTTGCCGCCCATAGCTGTGGCTGGCTGGGGATGGCTCAGGATCACAGTCCCCGTGTGCTGACAACTCTCTTCCTGGTGCTTCCAGGAGGAAAAGGGAAGCCATGAGATTCCTGAGGGATCAGGAGCCTGGCTCTGTCTCCTGACCGGAGGAAAGGGAGCCAGGCGTTGTCCGGCGATGGGCCTGCCCTCCAAAGCCTCCACGCAGAGCCTGGCTCGGTGGGCTTGCAAGAGCCGTGTGTGTCGACCGGTGACTTCAGGGATGCCGGGGGAGGGTCTCTGCCTCCATTGGCCAGTGAAGACCTCAGATGCAGGTGGACCACATACCCCAGCACTGCAGCCAGCCCAGCGGCCGGAGGAAGGGGGAGCAACCTGGTTGCCGGAGGTGGAACCCCTAGAGGAGAAGGGTGCTCGGCGGTGGTCTTCAAGACAGCCCTGCCTGAGAACGGGGGCTCTTCTTCCTTGGGATTTGGGGAGACCCAGGTAGAGTATACCTCTTGAATCTTGAAAGGTGGGTAGCTATGCCCCAGAGGTGTGTTTCCCAAAAGGCAACGGGACTTCCTTTTTTTTTCTTTTCAAAACATTTAATGTCTCATCCAGGAAGCTTCTTCCATTGTAACTGATGGGTGGAGGATGGAAAGATCTATATTCCTTGCAATCATCTGGCTGCTAATGAAGGTCGGTCATTAGCTCTCGGAAAGCCAGTGAGGCCCCCTAGAGGTGCATCTTTACCGCCCAAAGTCACCTGAATCAGAATGCCAAAAAAGAGGGTCTGGCAGCCTCTGGGGGGCTCAGCAAGCTCCTAGCTGTAGATCCCGTCATGCCTCTCTACCTCCTGGTCTGCCTCTGAAGCCGATGCGGGCAGGGTCAAGCCCCCCAAACCCGCAGGACCCATAGGGAAAAGTCTCTGCAGGGAGGAAATCCCAAAAGCCGCACGTATGGACAGAGGGAAGGCCTGGCAAGCAGCAGACGCCAAGGCCACCAGAGCGCAGGCCAAGGAGAAAGGCGCTCTCCCTGAGGAGGCGGCATCTCATAATGCGAGCCCCAGGTTGGCTGGGGAAGTCTGGGAATTGAAGTCCACATTGCCACAGTTGAGAAGTCCTGCTCTAGTCCAGCCCTCTGGCCAAGCAGGACCCCCCCCTCCCCTCCCCTCCCCTCCCCCATACAGATGCAGAATGCCAGGGTCAGAAGGGAGAACATCCTGGCCAACTGCTGCTCCATCAGAAATACTCCAGCCACCCCACAGAGCACAACTGACAACCATATCGCTCCTTTTATAAAAAACATTCAATAAAACATTGCATGCTCAATCTGCTGTATTTGAAAAAAGAGCTCCGATACATTGAAGAAGCCGGAAGAATTTCAGCTCTTGGGAATAAGAGACACCCGTTGGATTTTGCTCTGCTCTGGACTGTTTTTCTTCCGATCCAACAAGACTGAAGCCAAATCCTGAAGGAAGGTTTTTCAGAGCTTTGACTGCTGTTGGCATTGCTGCTTGTAAGAGGTTTTCTGCAGCTCAGGAGCAGCATTTGCGTAGAGCAAGGGTGTCAGGCTGTTTCATTGAGGGCGGCATCAGGGTTTGACCTTGTGTTTGACCTTGTGGGGGTGGGGA